TAGGAATGGCATGCTTTAGGCATGATGATAAAACGTAACAGCGACAAAAGGGATACTCACTGGATTGATACTTTGAAATGTTTAACTGAGATTATTGTTGTGATTGATCTGTTGTCGCGTGGTATCTATACACGTTGTTGGATCAATTGATATTCATATCTCTTCACTGGTTTTCTTTTTCTCTTTTGTGTTTATTGTAATTCATTGGGTTTTGTGTTTAGTGAGTCAATTTCTTATGTTTTCCGTGAGGTTCGCTTGCTCAAATGGCCAGTTACAATCAGTAATTTTGCTCTCGGCTTACAGCCGAGGGTTTTACTTTTTTGGGGGGCAGCTTGAGTCTAGTGGAAAGATCCTGACTTTCAGGGTCTCGGCTTATAGGTGAAGAAATACGGTACTTCCAGTAAATCTTTTACGTGACCACCGACCTTAGGATCCAACAGATTACTATTGAAGTCTCCAATGCAGATGACATCATTTGAAAAAGTTGCAACAACTTCTAATAACCTGCTCAGTTCTAATTTCCATACAGATCTTAGAAAAGATGGAGGCCTGTAAATTGCCATAACAGTGAGCTAGGATTTTCCTACCTTCACTTTCAGTATGATGTGTTCAGTCGTGAAGTTTGACATGTCAATGCCATTTTGATCTCCAAGCTCTTTTGTCACGGTGAAACACAGATCACTTCGTATGAATATCATAAGCCTACCGCCATAAATATTTCTATCCGATCGGCACATACAAAAGCCCTAAATGGCAAACTGGCTGTCAGGATATGTTTTATCCAGCTTAGTTGCAGAGATGGCCAAAATGTCGAACCTCCCACGCATAAGCCAGCTGTTGATCTCAGGGAGTTCAAAGCCGGCTATGCTGTTGGCATTGATATGACCGATCTTAACATTTCTCCAATACATTTTAACTTAAGTGTCAAAACTCGTCCTACTGTTCTTGTGGTCTTGGTTCTCACTCGGAGTCTGGTTGGTGTCACTGCAAGAACTGTAGCTGGTATCAATTTCACTAATGTCACCAAAAGGTAGTTGTTTTTTCTCGTCCAAGCCGGGAGGACATATCCAACTAGTGGTTTCAGAAGCCTGTAATCGCTTGTACTCTCTAGGTGAGATTCCACCGCACTTGATAATTATTCATTCGTTGAGAGCAGGAGCTACAACACACTGGCCTGTGATTTTTAGCCACCACTTTTCTACAAATGGTGCAACTTACCGGTCCTGGATTAGGACTAATGTTTCCACTTAGACAAAGCAGTTCAAAATTGAAGCTTGCAACGCTGTTGCTGAAGTAGTGAAATATAATCTAAACTTGGTGTACCTCGTATGACACCTATTTACAAGATGGTGGCGATTTGCAGCAATGGATGACATCAGAAACATACACACTGGTCTCGTTTGCTCAGTTTCTGAATCTGATAATACATTAAGATCACTGTATTCCCTTCCAAGAAGGCCAGGACCAAGTAGAAGACAGCAAAACAATTGCAAGTTAGAGTAGAAATAAGACCGTTTCAACAGAGCCATAACATCCACGTGTTTGCACCATGCCATTACTCTTACGGGTATTTTCCTTTCTTCTCATTTGCCATTGTACTGTACATGTTGTGGTTCAAATTTTACCTTTGGTTTGAATTTTTTAAACCAGTTAAAGTTTTTCAAACTCGTTTGAAATTTTTAAACCACTTCTGTTATCAACTGTCTGAAAAAGGGCCTTCCTTTCTTGGGGTGTGGTTGAAAGATAGGGGCTTGGCTTTTTGGGGGGTTCTTAAAAAGAATTTGTGCTTATAAGAAAATTACGTTATTCAGTTTTTTTTTTAAAGTTCAACAACCACCCCTCCCTCCTTATACTGTCATTCCCTTCCTGAATCTACTTTTTCCAAACCCCTCTTATTACCTTTCATCTCACCCCCCATAATATCTAACTATACCTTTTTTCCCTTTCTTTATATCTCTTAGTACTCACCACGATTTGAACTCCCAACCTTTGGATTTGCAGTAGTCTTCTTTACCCACTTGACCACGCAAGCAATCATTGCAAGTTCATTCTTATTCCTTTCTCTTATTATTACCCAGTCGTCTCACGCTCCTCTCCATCAAAATCATAATTTATTCATATTGCAAATATTAAACAAATCTGCACATGCCCATTTCTAGCAAGTGAAGCATGGAGGCCTTGGACGAAATTGCCAATTGTGTTTCTAAAGAAATATTTGAAGCCAAAATTAAAGGCTTAAAAGAGTCTTTAAAGACAAACAAATCATCAGTAAATGTGTTTGTCGAAGAAGAGTTCTATCATCGAGTGAAGAATTATCTCAAAGTAGTAACAGAACAAGAGCTTGACATTGCACCTTCGATCAAAACACCAGAGCTTTCAAAGGCAGAAATCAACACCATCAATTGAAAAAAGTGAAAATATGCAAATGAGAAGTTATTAACCTCAGAAGGGAAAGAAGTTGCACATAAAGGAATGCTCTTTGATATACTTTCTAAATGCCAAAATAGAATTGCTCACAGAGGACGACAAAAACTGAGAAATGGATTGCTGAGAATTAATCCGAAGTAACGCAGAAAGTTGTGAATACTTTGTTTCTCTTTGCTGTTTTCATGCAGAGCAAAAACCCATAACCACCACAGTGAAACCCATGGTAAGTCCTCTTCAGGCTGAAACATTCCTTTCCTTGATAGAAGTTGATCTTATGTATTCTAGAAATTGCCCATGTGAATGTGAACCAAAGCACAAGTGGACTATAAATATTATTGATCACCACACAAAGTTTGTTCATGTTCACCCCATCCATAACAAACTTACTGATGAAGTACTGAATGAAGTTCAAAAGTAGTGTTTAACTTATGGCTACCCCCAAAAAATTTAACAGATAATGGAGGTGAATTTGAAAACAATAAAATGAAAGCATTTTGTAGCACTAATCCAACTTCTCCATGGAGCAGCCAGGACTCTGACAACTCAAGGGCTAGTGAAACGGTCAAATCGTACATTCAAAGAAAACAAGAGGAGCTTGATAATGAGCACATGTGGTCTCAAAATTTCCAAATGGGGCAAGTAAACAATGCAAGCATCCTACATCATGAACATTACTTTTCATCATGCTATCAACATGACACCATATGAAGCAGTGTTTCAAATGAAGGCCAAAAGGGAACTATTAGACCATGATCTTAAAGAGGGCCCAGGAAAGCACAAAAGAAAACAAATTCAAGAAGCACAGGAAAGCTACAATACCAAAATGATAAAAAAATCTGAAGTAAATCCAAGAAAGAAAGTGTACAAAGTTCAGGACATGGTTTCAATTAAAATAGATAGAGTGGACAAGAAATCTCCTTTCCACCCAAATTTACTTCTGGGAAAAGTGTTTGAAATTGAAAATAATTATGTGAAAGTGGTGACACCTTTTGGTCCAATTAAAGGGTTCATTGCCCCTTCCAAACTTTTCCCATGAACAGCAACAAATGTAAAACTTGATTATGAAAAAGAAATTTCTTTCACTGGTGCATGCAAATTGGCCCAAAATGCTCAATAATAACTTCAATGTTTTCTTTACTTTGTTAGTTAAATGGTAGATGAATTGTAAATATTCTATTTTGTTGTGCTGCAAGTAAAAATTAATATTATTTTACAGGAGTGCCAAAAAATAAGTATTTAATGTTGTCACCAAAGCCAAGTATTTCTCATTTGATTAAGGGCTTGCATGAAATCGTACCCTAACCATAACCCAAACCATTCAAACAAAGCACTTAACCCCAGTAACAAAACTGGGTGCCAAATGCTACCCTAACCTTACACCAAAGCTAACCATGCATTTGAAATAAATGCTTAACCCTAATCACTAAAATGAATAAAATGTGAGTTTATTTTACTCCGTATTTTACAATGAGAGGTACAAATAAATAAGAACGAGTTAAGTGTTAAAAATTACTAACCAGTTTGAAAAATTTAAACTGGTTTAAAAAAATTAAAACCAAAGATTAAATTTGAACCACAACATAAAATTATTTTTCATTATACATACATGCACACTTTATTCACATACACACTTTATTTAGAGAGGGTGGCACGGAATAGTTGGAGTAACTAATAAACTTGTGGCCCTCTATTCCCACCCATCCCACCCCAGGGGAGGACATCCACCACACAGTAATCTCGTGCATGGGAAATTAACATCTCCCACCCCTAACCCTGCAGGAGACGGGGCCTACAGTTTATTCATCCTTATCCAAGAAGACTAGAATATCTATCCCTTTCTTGATATTATAGAAAGGTAGCGAATTCTCCTCCGTTATTTTAGGACCATGAGGATTGGTCCAGCCAGGGCTTGAACCCTCGACCTCCCACACGTCACAATCTGGCACTTTAACCAACTGAGCTAACTGGGAGGTGGTATTCCTGTATAATTATTATACTGTTATACTGTATAATTATTATATTGTGAGCTAAAAAAAGTATCACTGTGGGTACATTCGCTGTCCTGTAACTTTGTTTAGCTTGTAGCTCTAAAAATATGTTCTGCTGAGTTTACCTGGTGTCTCAAACATTGAGGATCACCACAGACCTCAGTTTTCAATTTTGTTTGCAATAATTGGACAGAAATGAAGTAAAAGAGGTTCAAATTTTTTACTGAAAGCCCGAGGCTGTCTTTCAGCAGCACCAGTAAATATTTAGACTTACTGACAGAGTAATTTCATTCAATGTTGCAATGTCAACTTAAACTTTTAGGCCAATTAGATGCCAGAAAAGTGAGATGACAGAGCTAGGATAAATACAACATATTTCTTGGCAGCAAACATATAGGAAGATCATGATACATCACTTTCATTTTGCTACTCTCATTTTTGCAAGACAACATTATATTGTTATTAATATTATATAATGTACATCTGGGTGTGTGAGTAGCATAGCTACAATGCTGTCATTTATATTCCTGTTTGTAATATGTTAGTTTGACATAAATCTTTCATATTTTTGCAATATATTCCTACCTAGAGACTTGGATATTTAAGTATTCTCTTTCTCTGTCTTTCTGTAGATCTTGTCTTTGTTGGATTGATGAACCAAAAGGAAAATAATGTAAGAGGAATTTCCAGGCTTCTCTTCTTACCTCAGGACTCAGTCCACCAAAAAATGTGGCCTATTAAATGTTAAAGTGAAACAATGTTTACAAATCATTCACCAAGAGAAAATGTCAATTGGATTATTTGTCAATGACCACTGTTCCCAGGGAGACTGATCGTTATGGCAAAACCCAAGAGCTGAACATCAGAGAAATTGACCCATGTCTTAACCTTATATTGTGGTTCAGTCTGAAATGCTGTATTCACTATCTGAAAACATTTTGAACTAGCACATGTTTGGGGTAAGCCAAATAAATGATGTGATACATCCAATTTCACTGAAAAAACTGCTACAGACTTCCTCAATGTGCTTCAACTAGCAAGTTGCTTGGTTTCTGAGGATGCAATTCTTCAGCTGTAGGACACTTCTTGAGTGCTCTAGCTGCTTCCTATGTGCTTTACACCAGAGCAGAGCACAGCTGGGGTTCTTTCTAGCCTAATTCAGACATTGCAAATGCACCGTCATTAGAACTGATTTCTCAAAAAGTATTAATCAGAGTCTGAAGAGGAAACATTCAGAGTGCTCAGCATCTCAGCCAAATTAGGCATTGATAATTTAACCCGTTAGGTTATAGACAGGCTATTGTATTGTGGTCAACGAAAGCAGAGAGATTCTTTTAATTTTTCAGCCCTCCCACGATCATAACTATATTTCTAGTCTAGACAACGTAAATTCAAATGGCGATGCAGCTTACCTTACGAAAATTCACCACGTCTTCCATTCGACCACGATCATCAAATAATTTTTTCCATGTTAGAACGGTCATCGGGTCAAATCTACCTTCTTCCGGATGGAAGTGTTTTGTAAGATTTCGTTTCGAAACAACGGTAAAACTTTTCTTTCGAAGATCCCCTTCATCAAGAGGATTTACATCCTCTGCAAACCACAGCTGCAAAACCTGAGTGATGCGATCAAGTCCACCATGATGAAAGTGAAATACCTTGTAGTGGTTTTCATAGTTCCCGATCACTAATTGGCCACGCGTGTCATCTTCCTGTATATTAAATAACCTAACACTTTTCATTTCGTTGAGATCTACACTGAACTTCTCTGTGCTTCTAGAAAGTTTGGAAAGTTGTAGTTTCTCCGTCTCCCGATCGTGTAACTGACGATCACCTATTTTCAGCTGTTCATCACAAAAGTAAGTATTCGGTGTCCATGTAACCAACAAACGAACGAGTCCACTTCGATGAGTGATGGATTTCAAAGTAAAGTATCCTGGCGAATGAGAGTCATCTAAAGAAGAAGAATGGACGCAAACATTGTTTTTACAGAACAAAACTTCCTCGCTTTCGCTGGGATCATCTTCACCGTCCACGTAAAAGGAATTAGGACTCAAGGAATCGAACACCGCGGAGCCTTCTACGGCAAACTTGATAAGATGACTCAGCATCTCAACTGGCAGCTACCAAAAACGAGCCAAAGGTAATTTACTATGCAAAATCAGCTTCATCACTGTTTGTCGAAAATATGCGCCCTGTGGCTGATCATCAGCTAAGGTTTCAGGTTAGTTTTGTAACGATGACGTCACTTCTCCTCCCAATAATCGCAAAAGGTTCTGGGTACAAGTGTGTACAACATAAAGGGTCGCGATATTCCCACGAAGACCTCACGCAGTACGATTTTATCGTGTCAGCGGTCATCCCAGTTTAGTAATGGGAGCTCAAGCAACCACGACGACGAACGGAGGACGACGACCGCAAGTAGCAAGAACGTCACTGCGCAAGCGCGAACCAAGAATTCCGTCGTCGTCTTGTCGTGGACGACTTGAACAACACGATCTCGTCAAGAAAAACACCCTAAAAAGATAAACGGACAGGATTTTAGAACGATCACTACTAGACTGCAATAAAAAACGATTCTTCACCGAACAAAGTGTAGGTGACTTGTCGTGGAGTATTTACCGAGCCGCAAAGCGTCAAAGTAAATATCCACCGCTAGCCAATCATACTGTGGTGATCAAAGTAAATATCCACCGCTAGCCAATCATACTGAGGTGAATTTTGTTTAAGAAAATATCAAATCATTGAGATAACATAGCACAAAAAGATGATTTTAACTCA